GTGACGCACAGCTCAGGGATGCTGTGGTGTGTGCGGAGCAGCAGCAGAGCACCCAGAGCCCTACTTCCCAAAGCCCTTGCTTTGCCTGGCCCTGCCTGGTAGCTGCAGTCGCTGCTGGAACATCTGTGTTTATTTTGCATGACAAACTTGTTCCTGGGCTCTGACAAAACGCGTGCTGGTCTGGGACTGGGGTTTGGGCTCCTCGGCAGGGCTGTGCTGTAGTGCGCGGCTGGCCCTGCGCTGCTCTATAATACATATTACATTACTTCATCCATAGTTAATGACAAGTGTGCTATATTTTTAATCTTTATAGCTTTATTGTGTGCAAGTGGTTTTAATAATTGGTGCTGCAGGATGGTTACTTCCCAGAATTACCCTGCAAAATTGCTGTGTTTTCAGCCTTCAGTTGTGCAGGTTGTAAATTATAAACTTGGTTAGTAATAAACTTGGCTCTCTCTCACTGCTCTGTGGAGATGCCAACCTGTAACAACAGCAAAAAGATATATGCTGGCAAAAATTCCTCCCTGAAGCTATCCTCATCCTGTGCGCATGGCCTGTGGGGTAAAGAGGCCCTGTGCTAACCCCTGCTTATGCTTTGTGTGTGTGACCATGAGCAGGAAAATAACTGCAATGAGACAGGGATAGTGGTAAAGGAGCAAAGGGACTTGGGGACTCCCTGAACTGCCCCCCACCTCCTCCAAGACATTCCTCAGTCTCCTCCCCATGTGGAGCACAAGCACTTCTGCCAGAATTGTGATAAACAAGGCATGTGGTATCCAAATGCCTCTGCTGGTGTCCTGAGCCTGCACATCCCTGAACTGGGGCTCTGGAATGGAGTTGTACAGAGTGAGGCTGGGACTGTAGCCTTGTCTCGTGTGGAGTCTCTGCTCATCCCATCTGAGGGCTGAGCTTAGGGTGCTGCCCACCAGTGCAACACACGTACTGTAAAGCCTGGGGCAAGCAGAACATTTTTATTAAAAAGACTGCAAAACTGGGTGAAGGTATTCTGGAGGCTTCCTGTTTTGGCTGCCTTGTTCTGTTTGGCATTTCTCAGTTCTCTTTTTCTGGGCACGTCCCCAGCAGGATGATGGTAGTGCCTCCCCTTCCCCTGTGCACCGGGGTGGTGCGGACTGCATCCCTCCCTCCTGTGCTGCCTTGGCTCCCAGTTTCCAGCCCAGAGAGCCAGGGACCCAGGTGGTGGGGCAGCCCCCAAGCCCCACACACAGACAGTCCCCAGCATCCCAAGGAACGCTGTGAGCACGGCAAACACACAGCATCTCTCTGGAGGCGCAGCTCTGGGATGGCCTCAGGAAACAGCAGCTCCTTTGATCGGGCTTGTTGCCTTCAGCCTCCAGCTGCTGGCGACGTTCCGCTGCCTCTGAAACCCTGTTCACCCGTGGGCAATATCCACCTGCTGCAGTCCTCGGAGCCAGGCAGGGGATGTGAAATGTGCTCCTGGAGTGCCTGCAGGAGTTACTGGAATAGCTGATGATCAGCCTGCAGGAAGATGGGAGTCTGGGGGAGGGTGTCAAGGGCCAGGCAGCACTTTGAGCAACTACACAGCCTGCAGAGCTGAGCAGTCCTCAGCCGGGGACAGGCTCAAGTCCTGCCAGCCAGCTCTGCTTTAAAGCAACACCAAGACATCCCTTAATTTCTTATATTTTGGCTTGGGATGAAACTCTGTGCCATTGTCAGTGACATCTTTAAGCCTTACATGGACACAATGAAGTATTAATCACTTTAGCAGGACAAGACCTAAAGAGGTAATTCATAACAAATAAATTACATTATGCTTTAAGCTTCTTTACTTTCCCCAGAAACACTGAAGACGTGTGGGGTTTCTAATAAAAACATGTATCTTTAAGTTCCCAGGTAATAATGGGTGCAAACATTTTTCATTAGTTTCTGAGCTTTGAGATGCAAACATTTGGTTTTCACCGTTCACTCTGTGTGGGGCTGGTGAGCCTCTAGTTGCTGGGAAGTGACTGGCTTTGCAGGTGGCTGTGCATTTCCAGGGTACTTGTTCTCTGTGGATACAAGTGAATTGGGGAATCTTTATTGTTTGACCAAGGTGCTTCAGCACATGTTTAGCATGTGTCTTTGGGGCTCAGGCACCTGTTGAATGAAAGATTTTTCATCATGAAATGTTTGAGCATTTTCCTGTGACTTGGCTAACTCTGCACTATCCATTTGCTGGCATTGCAGTGCCTTGTGGCCCAGCTTTCCTCTGGATCTCTGGTGACCCAGCACAGCCACAGCGGACCTGACAGGTGACAACCGTGAAGCACAGCAGGAGGTGAAGGCTAAGGTAGGAGATGTTCCAGTCTTATTTACACATTAAACACATTGAAAGAGAGATTTCCGCTGAAACACACACACACTGACTGAAACAGATGCAAACACTGTGATCCCAAGTGAGTTCAAGGACATCCACCTTTCTTCTGATGGCTGGAGCAGGACAGCGATCCTGTGTGAGCAGCGTTGGATTGAAGAATTTAAGGTAAGAGGGAGGGATTTAAAAATAAGTAAAGCAGCTTTTTTTCTGCGCGCGTGCCTTTGTTGTCTCCTTTTGGATGCTGATTTCCATTTTACTTTGTGTCTATTGCCAGTTATGCCGAGCACTGGTTCACTGTGAGCACTTGTCACAATGTGTGTGATTTCTTCCTGATGGTGTCCAGTTTGTTTCAGTTAACATATTTTTGGGCAAAGATTTCATTCAGATGTGTGTTCAAGACCACCTGATTTGATAGAGGCTTTGAGTGGGGTTTAATCTGCCTTGTGAAGCACATTGGGGGGGTGCCAGGCTGGGTGGGGAGGTGCCTGTGCCCATGCTGCGCTCAGCCAAGAGCTGCTCTGCTGAAGGCTCTGAGGGAGTTCTCCTCACTAATTAGTCATCCTCTCTGAAACAAATAAGATTATCACTACTTTTTGTTGAATTTTGAAATCCCAATTATGGTTATGCTTGATGGAGGGGAGAGCAAGTTCAGCAGCCCTTGTTTCCACTGTTCAAGTGTTCACTTTAATACAAGCTGTTGTGTGTTTGAAAATCAGCATGTTAATGCTGTGTGTGCCTCACTCCCCTGAGAGCAGCTGCAGTGCCTGTTTCAACCAGTGTACAGTGTTCCTGGAACTGGGACCTCTTTGTGACATGAGGGGTTTGGACCCCACACCCTGTAGGCTTGTGACAGTCCTTCTGATAGTCCGCATGGGTGTGGTGTCTGGGAGAGGAGACTTTGGGAAATGCCTCTTGGGAAAAGCCTGCTGCTGTTACTGAGATGCTGAATCACACAGGGGAGTTGTGCAGGTAAGGCTGGAGGTACCCCAGTGCTGGGCAGCTGTGGGGCAGGAGCACAGCCTGAGCACGGGCTGTTGGGAGCTGAATGTGCTGAGCTCAGGGCAGGGCTGTGGCACCTGCTCCACTGCCTAAATCAGGTATCCTGTCTTACTTACCTTTTGCAAAGAGTGTAAAGAGACAGAACTGAGTAAGGTCCCTCCTAGAGGGGAGTGTATCAGCTTAACCCCAAAGTCAGCTGTGAGGTGAATCTGATCTCAAATACTGAGACACCACAAAGCATTGTCCTTAGAAAGTACACTTTTCCTCTGACAGAATGCAAATTAGTTAATAGTTTCCAGCAACCTAAAATGTACTGAAGCATGATTTGAGCAGGAAGGAAGCCACCAGCAGTGCTGCCACCTCTTTGACAGCTCTTCTAATCACCATAGCTTTATCAAGAAGTGTTAAGCTGTATTTTTTTATTGATATTTAAGAATAAATTCTTACAACATCATCTCTATAAAAGGTTCATCACAGACCAAATACCACTCTAACCTTTTAAGCTTCTACAGTAAAAACTGTCGTCTTTATTTATCTAAGTTTGGGAGAGATACAAATGTAATCATAACCCCCAAGGCAAAATTTTATGGCAGTTTTCAGAACTCCTCTCTATAAAAACTACTCAAAGCTACCAACATAAAAGCTCCCAATAAAATTTGCTTTAGATCCTAGTCATAAAACATGATTTTTTTCCCCTGGTCCTGGAACTACAGGTGTCCACTTGGCAGTGCTGGTCACTGCCAGATCCCCTGGCAATGCCAGGCTCCACATATCTGCTGGGTCTGCAAGGAGGGGCTGCTGCCCCCCAAGCTCTGCCTTGGCTCACCCCAGTACAGCCTGTGGGTGCCTGGTGCTGTGCCTGGTGGCAAGCATGGGCACAGGAGGTGTGGCTGGAGCAATTCTGAATGTGAGCAAAATCTTTGGGTATGAGAAGAACTGTACAATAAAAACAAGCTGGAAGAGAACACTGCAGGCAGTAGAACACTGGACTCTTTCCTCTGTTGCTTGGCTGGGGATCTGCACTTGTTTGCAAGATTGGTGGCCCTCCAGGTCTTACTTTGGTGACATAGGAATTCATGCATCAGAGGTTGCCTTAATTAAAGATTACTTATTATTATTTGCATGTACAGTGTTAGCAGTAAGTAGAAAACCCTTTATGTACATTTAGCTGAGAAGCCTAATCTGGACCTGTGTGCCATGAGGTTGGGCTGGGCTGGGCTGAGCTGAGCTGAGCTGGGGCGAGCAAGGTTGGGCTGGGGGGGACCCAGGCTGGCTGTGTTCTTGAAATGCAGTGCAGGAATAAATCTCTGCAGCCTTTAGAGGATTCCTGGCAACTAAAGGCTCTCACTTTATCAGCCTAGATTAATTTGCTTTTACTGTGCAGAGTGGATTTAGTCCTGCTACCTCACTCTGGATGGTTTCTGTTCAGAGATCTGAACCTGTTCTTCTGACTGTAATTAGGAGAAAATCTAACATAGCACAAAGCTGCTGGTAAAGGAGAGCAGAGACAATTGCCAGATGTGAAATAAAAAGCATAGCCACCTTCTTTGGGGTACACACACCGCAAAACATCCCAAAATGTCATGATAAATAAGAACAGTTTGATGAGAAGTGTCTTGGATGCAAGTATTTTTCTGAGGCAAAAATACTAGTATATTGATTCCTGAAGCTGCTTTTTTCAGGGACTGCAGAAGGTTAGAGGTGATCTAGAAAGCCTCCACCTGGTGGCCCACATCTTGTGTTTGCAGGCCTTGGCCTCGCTTGTCATTCCAAGCACCCGCCGCATGCTCCAGCTATTCTCTAGCTGGAAAACATTAAGTGGTTGCTGGTCTCAGCTCATGGTCCTTGTGAAGAGGGTGGGAAGCCCACAGCCCCATCTTCTGGGAAGTTTCCTTCCCATGGTGCTTCCCAAGGGCTTTTTCTTCCTCACTCCTTGTGCTCCTCTGCGGAGACATCCTTGGGAGCTCTAGGACTGCCAGGACGGGGCAGTCAGGGAAATGAGGTAGATCCAATAGTTGCATAACATGTATAATAAAAACTATGACAGGGCTTTTCTGTTTATTTTAAAGTAGACTTAAATTACAAATCTGCATTCCCAGTTGTGTGTGATTTTAGGAACTGGCTCTGGGAGCATTCCCAAGCTGGCTGTTGGAGCTGTGTTCCTATCTCCCTGTCTTTGTTCCATTGGAGAGGCTGCTGGGTACTGTCTGTCTGTGATTACTGGTTAGTTCCACTTTGTGGGCGCTGTCTGACACAGGAACTTCTCCCCAGTGCCCATCCTGAGTTATCGAGTAGCTTAGGGCTGTTGGGTCTTTGCTGTGTCCCAGCTAAGAAAAGCTGTTTTAAGTGTATGTTGGTGAGAAAGGTCAGAGAAAGGATGTTTTTTCTTGTCTGAAGGACTGACAAACTGATACCTTCTCTGGCTGCATGGGCAAAACTTACACAGCAGCCACCAGCTCTTCCTCGCCTCCCTTCTTCCTGACAGTCCTGAGGGAGCCTAAAGCATAGAGTATCCCGTGAGTCCTCAATGGCCTTCAACAGCCATGTCCTCACGCAACCATGTCCTGACAGAGAAGTTAAAAATCCGTACTAAACTAATGAGACTGTTTCTTGTAGTGGCAACCGACCACAGACTCCCTCTTACAGCACCTTTTAATTATTGTTATTGATGATAGAGGTTTTGGGTCACTGCTTTTGGAAAGAGGCAAACCAGGAAACTTGTTTCTCCTAGAAGCAGCATTCCAAGCCCTGGAGGGCACAGGAGATACAGGGCTCTTTGGGCGGTGCAGTTTGGGGACCTGGGGCTGTGTTGACTCTGTGTTTTGTTGATGAACACAGCCATTCATTCCCTGTGCCTTTGTACCTATTCCCTCTCAGGAGCTCCAAAGGCATTTTATTTTCCTTCAGTTTTGGCATGGGATCAGAGGGTGGTTCTCTGCCTCTGATCTAAGTAAAATAGTCATGATTTGAGGTAGGTGCTGTTCAGATTATTCATTGCTCCTGGCAAAACAAATGTTGGTCTTAAATATTTTGATGAAGTATTGAAGCCACCTGGCTTTTGGGCAGAGCCAGGCTGCTGGGTAGGGGCCTGGTAGCTCACAGACCCAGATGAGGAGGCCAAGTGATAGAAGGTGAGACTCCATGGTGGTATTCCCAGCCTGAAAGGTGGAAGTGCAGGTGGATTGTCACCACCCTTTTTGTCCTGTTCAGCTGCTGCTCAAGGGAGAGTGGCAAGGTCCCAGCCCCAGGTGCTCCTGGACAGAAAGAGGCCTTTAATGGTTTTGATTTCTGTTGTGAAAATAAGTGTGTTTGTGGCAGAGTGGGAGGTGATTGACTCTTGTGGGCATTTATCCTCACAAGATTAGGGAAAGGGAGGAAGAAGCTGTTGCCAGTCTGTTCTTGCACTGGGTAGAGGTTTCTCTGTGAGACTTCTGCAGCTATTGATGGCCTGAGCTGCTCGTATCTCTGCCTTAGACGGGGCTGACAGGCACCTTTTGTGAAGGCTTGACAGCATCATCAATACTGGCATTAGAGCTCCTTGTGCAGCTTATGAGGATGGGATGGGTGTGATGGATATGGAGCCATGTGAGAAATTGGGCGAGGTCACTGCCATTTTTTTCCTGGCTTTCACAGAGGCCATGTTTGCTTCCCTGCGTTCTCACACAGGGACATGAATCGATTGGTGCTGCTGTGAGTCAGTTGGCAGGATGAGTTGGGAACCCCCAGGGGCTCTGCCAGATGGATGGATTGAGTGGGTCTGAACAGAGCTCTGGGACTGCTGGGCTGTCGCAGTTTGGGTGCAAGAAACCCCTCTGAAGGCTGTCGCTGGGGATAGACACTCTGTGTTTATGTGCTCTGAGGTGGAATTGTCTGACAAATTGCAGTGCCCACACAGGCACTGCAGAAATTGGACTGTTCTGCCTGTTCTCTGATCTCCAGTTTCATTTTCCCTTGCCGCTGCTGCCTCTGGCTGTGGGAACAGAAAACGATCCTTCCCCAAATGTCTCCTAGTTGGCAGGTGGAACTCATGCAGTTTTTCCGGATCCTCATATTGCCCTCAGAACCTGGCTGGAGCTGAGGAGAGAGGCTGTGTGGCTGCTGGTTGAGGGGCTGTACCAGTGCACTCATGGGACAGTGAGAGTGCGGTGAGCAACCATATTGCAACT